GGCTCCCCTCCTGCATAACAGACATGACATATGTTATGAAAGGTGCTTGTCTTTCTCATGTTCGTCTGCCTTTTGTAACAAGAATCTATCCCAGCTAAGAACTTGTGAGGACTGAGAAAAGAAATTATATTTTTCTCTCCCTCCAAACCAAGGAATGCCAAGAATTGCCTGCTACCACCAGAAGCTAGGACAGAGGCATGGGATGGACTCTCTCTCCGAGCCTCCAGAAGGACCTTGATGACACCTTGGTGGGGACCTGTGGCCTCTTGAACTGTAAGGGAATAAGACGGTGGTTTTAAGCCAACCAGTTTGTGGTCATTTATTAAGGCACGCCGAGGAAACTGTCAGGGCATTTCAGAATCTTCCCCAGAAGCAGCCAAACGGTGACCCCATTACATCTCCTTAAGAGGTAAGTGAACGCACTCCTCAGCACAGCTCTTTCCTGAACCTCCAAGGGCTCCGCCTGAAAATCCAGTTCTCTTTGTGCACATGGAAGAAAATGCATCTTAGATAATACATGTCAATTTTCTTTCAATTATGTGCACACAGGACCTATTTGGTTTGCAAGATGGGAGAAAAAAAAATCCACTATACATTTTGTTCCGTTGCTTTTGCTCGCTCGGTCAGGAGACGTTTCTTATTAGCCTCACTCACCTGGTAACTAATTAGAGTTGCCAGCCTTTGAAAAGCAATTATTTCTAAGTAAAACAAGCATTTCTCTGAAAGAGTCAAGGAAAACTGTACACACCGTAAGTAAGAGGCAGTATGAGTAGGAGTTGGTTATTTCTGCTTCAATCTTGAAAAATCTCTCTCATCAAGAGGACGTTTAGAGAATAGAGTTGATGAGATCTGAAGTGGTCATCTACTTTATTCTCCTACTTTCCAATAGCACCAACTATGCAAATTAAGTTCCATTCAGTAATTCTTGCATGTCCCGGATCTATGCTAGGGGATAGGGATGTAAAAGAGACCTTCAACCTTAGGAGCCCAAACAGTAACAACAGATAGGGGAGGTAAACCAGTAACAGATTAGAGATAGCGTAAAGCAGAAGGACCCATGGAAGGATATTTCAATTGAGTATAGTGACTTGAATGTGAATATTCATCTCTGCTCACTCTTTAGCCCACATTAAAATGAATGTGAAGGAATAACATAAATATGCACAAACCCAAAAGGACAAAGAGAATTGCAGGAGAGACTGCAATGAAAGAGAACCTTCACTGAATCTGGTAGGGTAGAAAATACAGGAAGTAGAGGAACAGAGAATATGACTAGTAAGTGCCTGCGGAGACCCTCTGGGTCGAAGAATTGGCTGAGAGAATCCTGGGAAAAATCCAGACACCTGAACTATGAGGTGGTGGTGGGCATAAAGTGGAGATGAGAAGTTTCCTGAAATTCTGCTTAAGGAGAAATTAGATCTTTGGTCACTGCCAAGGTGGAGCAGCTAAGGGTCCACCCCACCCTGCCCAAGTTAGTTTATTCTTGGAGAACAGTATTCAGAGGGGCTGTAGTCACAGCAGAGGGGGCAAATTGCTCTGAGATTGAATGCTGACAAACACACTAGGAGATGCCCAGCCCTCTTGGAGTCCCCCCTCCTGAGATGGCAAGGGCTCTCAGGTAGGAGGTTGGTGGGTTTTCTTTGGAGAAAATGAACATCCCCAGAGAAAAGATATTCAGAGAATGATAGTTGGGGCTTTTGAAAAGGGGAAAAAAATAAAAAAAA